AAGCCCCGTCCAACCTGGCCTTGAACCCTTCCAGGGAGGGGGCAGCCACAGCTTCTCTGGGCAACCTGTGCCAGGGCCTCACCACCCTCACAGCAAAGAATTTCCTCCTTATATCTAATCTCAATCTCTCCTCTGTCAGTTTAAAACTGTTACCCCTCATCCTATCCCTACACCCCCTGATCAAGAGTCCTTCCCCACCTTTCCTGTACCCCCCTTTAAGTACTGGGAGGTCTAAGGTCTCCCTGGAGCCTTCTCTTCTCCAACTGAACCCTCCAACTCTCTCAGCCTGTCCTCACAGGGGGTGCTCCAGCCGCCCGAGCATCTTCATGGCCTCCTCTGGCCCCACTCGAGCAGGTCCGTGTCCTTCTGATGTTGTCCCAGAGCTGGACACAGCACTGCAAGGGGGTCTCATGACAGCAGAGTAAAGAGGGAGAATCCCCTTCCTCAACCTGCTGGCCACACTTCTTTTAATGCAGCCCAGGACAAGTTTGGCTTTCTAGGCTGTGAGTGCACATTACTGGCTCACAGTCAGTTTTCCATCCACTGATCCCCCCAGCCTGGATTTGTGCTCAGGATTGCCTCAGCCCATGTGCAGGACCTTGCACTTGGCCTTGCTGAACTTCATGAGGTTCACACAGTCCCACCTCTCCAGCCTGTCCAGGTCCCTCTGGATGACATCCCTTCCCTCCAGCGTGTCGACTGCACCACACACCTTGGAGTCATCAGCAAACTTGCTGAGGGTGCCTCAAACCCACTGTCCATGTCACCAACAAAGATGTTAAACAGTGCTGTCCCCAACACCGACCCCTGAGGAACAGCACTTATCACAGCTGTCCACTTGGACATCGAGCTGTTGACCATAACTCTTTGAGTGTGACCATCCAGTCAGTTCCTTGTCCAGCCAGTGGCCCATCCATCATATCCATGTCTCTCCAATTTAGAGACATCATGTCGTGTGGGACAGTGTCAAAAGCTTTGCACAAGCCCGGGTAGATGGTATCTTGCTCTTTCCTTATCCATCAACACTTTAACCCTTGCTTGTAGGTGACCACCAAATTCTTCAGGCACGATTTGCCCTTAGTGAAGCCCTGTTGGCTGTCACCAATCACCCCCTTATTTTCCATGTGCCCTAGCAGAGTTTCCATGAGGATCCACTCCATGATCTTGCTGGGCAAAGGTGAGACTGGCCTGTAGTTCCCTAGGTCCTCTTTATTTTCCTTTTTTAAAATGTCATGTCATAAGAAAGCTTTGCCTGTATCTGGACAGGACAATAGCTCTTGCAGTTGGAGCTAAGGACTAGCTAACCCCTTGTCAGTCCTCATCTCTGATCTATAAGGTAGAGAAAGAGCTGTGGCTTGTTACTGCCCTTAACATCTGTGCTCCTCGCCCTGACGCAGCCAGTAAACAATGTGACTAAGAGAAAATGAAATTGGAAATTTTTTTTCTGTAAGCTGGAATGTGTAATTATGGCAGATGATAATCCTCCATTTCTTGGAAAAGGCAAAGACTCTTAGCTGGGATTTCCCTAGCATGACCCAGTTCAGAAAGCAAATGACACTTCATAGAAATCACTGCAAAGCTAAAGTAGCAACTTTCTGGTCCTTAGTGCCAAGGGTGGTGGTAACTGCTTGTGAACAGACACTCTTCCCTTCAGTTCCCGGCATGGAAATTCTTCTTCTAACTCCAGTGGGAGATGCAAGACAGACTGTGAAGCTGTTCCTTCTGCCTTCTTTTAGTGCTGCTTGTTGGAAAGGAACTCAGAAGACACATGATATAAAATAGAATGGTTTCTTTGAAAATTTCTCATGAACTTATGATATTTTTAGCACATACAAGTTAAAACTGCATTCATTTGAGTTGCTTAGAAGTAATTTCAGATTTTCGTGAAGGTGGATTAATAAATGCACATACACCTGTTAAATGTTGGCCATTTCATGCCTTTAATTCCACACCTGTCTGTGTCTGAGTTAATTTAAATGGGATCAAATGGTATTATAACAACATATCTGAGGCCAAGCTCTGACCCTGAATTGATTGTACTGCATTCAGATGCTCTCTTAGGCTACAGCAATGCCACGTGTGTGCTGTACAAGCACCACTTTAAACATGGCTATGGTTAGAAGACTTTAGCACTACTTCCATGGGCAGAACCTTCATAGCTCATAAAGCCAGAAGAAACTTGTGATCATCTCATCTGCCTGCTGCAGGACCTGGAGGTAACTCCCTTGCCGTAGAGTTGACGTCCTGCAGCACGATCATTTATGGGGGGTGGAGGAGAGTCTGGTGCAGGCAGCTGTACAAATAAGGGATTTAACTGGTTTGGTTTCAAGTTTACAGCCAGCTTTGGTCAACAGAATTGAAAACTGCCTGCTTTTGCTGTCAAAATGTATATGCATATAAAATGCATATAAAAAAGATTTTGGATCTGACTTGAAATTAAATGTTATGACTCGGGGAGAGTATTTTTCAAGAGTAGAACCACTTTATTTTAAGATGTAACTAAAATACAGAAAACAGAAATATCTACACCTCATCAGTTTTCTGGCAACTCTCTCCTCCCCCTACCCCTGTCCCAATTCTTCCCTGAATTTTGCCCAGGTTACAGTAACTTAGTATATTTTTTTTCTCTTTAAATTGCAGAAGCAGTAGGAAGCATTTAAGAAATGCATGCTGTTTCAACACATAAGTCAAAGCAGCATAGTTAAAAGTGGAAATACTACTTTTACAGTCAAAGATGGTGCCTGGGGAAAAAAAAAAACAAACAACCAAACCAAACCAAAACAAAAAAAACCCTTCCAGGGGAAAATACTGTCATCTTGTCTCCCACTGGCCTAGATACAATGATGGGGTAAGTTTTGTCTCCCACTTGCCTAGATACAGTGATGGGGTAAGTTGAAGACAATGTTTTGCTTCAAAACTGAATTTCCTGCTTTCAGTTGACCTACAGCTTACCTCGTCTGGGATGTTCACACCAAAATAATCACTGTCCAATGACAATACCACAGGCAATTTTGGTTGCCAAAGGCAACTTTACAGAGCTACAGCATAAACATCCCCATGGGGATGTCATCTTTCATGCATCTCATGGGATATCCTAAACATGAGGTTCTAAATCCAGCTAGTAAGTGGAGCTATTAGGAGTAGACAGAGTCCATCAATGTAGCACAAAAATCCTATGCTTAACAGGAGGGAAAACTATATTAAAAAAAAAAAAAAAAGACAAAAAATTTCTACTGGCAGCAAACCAGTGCAATTCATAGCTTGGTCATCAGAGTTGTTTAACTGAAGAGTTGTTTGCAGAAGTTGTCAGGGGAGAGATTTATGGCTGGACACAAGCCTGGCTGAGGGGTGGTAGTGGCAGAGGTGGGTTGGTGTGGGACATGCAATCCAGGTGATGCAGTGGAGGAGCTGTCATATCACTGCACAACTTTTCCTCCATTGCAAGCTAACTTAAGGGTAACATCCTGCACGCTTGCCATAGGTTGTACAGCACTCTGTTTCTGTTAATTTATGAACCTGTACCTTCTACTCAGCACTCTCTATCATCCTGTCCTATAGCAATATTCTGTGTGTAGTGAACAAACTGATGTCCAGCATTATTTCTTCTAAGGTACTTCTTAATCCCTAGTACAGAGGAACTGCACAAGAACTGAACTGGTTTTGCATAGGGCTGGTGATATAAAAGTTATCTTGAAATCCCCTGTGTGCAATGTCTTTGTTTCTACCGATGCAAATGTGCCCAAATCTGGTTTTGACAACTGGTAGATTCTGGCAGATTGAATAACCTCAAAACTTTACAAACAGAGACATAGAGGGGTCATTAATTGGCTTCTATTTAAGCGTAGTTTATGCCATTTTTCTTTGAATAAGCTGCCAAAAGAACATGATCATAAGCTGTTACAAAACCAACTTAAGCTGTAGCTGTGATTTGCGTCAAGCATTCAGAAAGGAAAAATATAGAAACCGTAGGCAAGAGCAGGCATCAGTGCAATAGCTGTGACTCCAGGACTGAAAATAACCCACCTGTGAAATGAATTTCCCTCAATCATTTATCAGTTGCTAAACAACAGCATTGCATATCTATCATAACTGCTAACATATTTATTAAAGTTGGGGAATCTCTGGTCACCTGTGGGCATTTAGGTACTTTACTTTCAGCCTCCTTTAAAATAAATAGTAACACTGCAGCTGCAATGTTAAGTACACCAGTCCTAAAAAATTACTTCAGTATCTTGATTCTGGCTCACCCCCTTTATTTATTTTAATCACAAATGGGAGAAAAAGGGGAAGAGGGGTAGTGTTTAAGTTCCCAGTATGTAATCTTTTGATGCCTATCTTATTGTAGAAGGAAGTGATAGGGACAGCAGATTTGAATGTGTGAGGGAAAGCCAGATGCATCTTGTTATATGGGCTGCTTTTAGAAATTTGGATTTGTTTTCTTTTAGTCTGGAGCTGCTGATGACTGGAGTTGTGTGGAAACAGCTCCTACACCCAGCACTTTGCTTCCCTCCAGCTCCTTCCAGTTGCTGCTGTAGCAGCTTCTTGCTGGGCAGTGGTGGCAGAAGCAATGTTGGGGGAGAAAACTGGACTATTATTTAGCATCCTCTTGCCTTGCTTTGTGGGGAGTACAGGTATGTGTTCTTCAAAACAGCAGGTTTTGATTTGCAAAATCAGAAGCTTCTTGCCAGAGAACTGTCTAAAGGGCAAACCGGAGGGCAGCCAGCAGCAAAACTATTTTCTAGCTTCAAAGGTGTTCTTTTCAAAGGCCAGTTTAAATCCTTGAAGTATTAAAGCTGTGAAAACAAATCAAGAGAAGAATGGAATGAAATTGTTCTTACCAAAATAGCAAGCCATGTTCACATGCTTAGAAATAAAATTAACCAGAGCAGAGCAGAAGCTGTGCTTCACCCTGCTCTGTGGCGCTGAGGGAGCCAGTGCAGCTTGGGAAGCGCAGAATTATTGCCCTTGGAGGGTGGGTGCTGCCAGGACGGCTCAGCGGGGACCGAGGAAGGAGTGTAAGGCTTTCCTTTAGTGGAGAAGAAAGAGGTGATGCTGTGGCTGGTCCTGCAGTGCAATGTAGCTGTTCGAGCTATATGGAGTAGCTGCGGTACCTTTTTGATTCTACAATCAGCTCCTTGTTCAAACACTTTCAGCAAAGCCATCATTTGGTGGATACCGGGAAAAAGTTGATTTCTTTTAATGCTTTTTTTATCTTTGGAATTTAAGCTTTTTGACTCGCATGGGCATGCTTCCCCCGGCTATTATAAATAGGGATCTTTGCTCTCTCCAGCCTCATGCAATCTGTGAGACTCCTGTATTTATGAAAAATACTGAGTGTATGGACCTGATCCCTAGAAATGTGGCAGGGGAGGGCAGGTATACAGATATCTGTATTGCTCTGTCAGCGTTTCTCACCCTTGACCTGAAGGACCACACAACAGGCTGAGAAAACTAATCTGGCACCAAAAGCTAGCTTGCTTGAAAAATCTTAGACTTTTCCAAACATTTCTTTTTCTCCCTGCCACTTCCCATTAACTTACTTGCAGCTCCTGTTATGAAGAATTTACATCAAAAACTCAGGAAACCACTTAATGCTGTTTAAAATGTTATGCTTTAGATGAATTATTACTGAATGCGCCTTTGTGTTTTTAAAAGTATTTCAAGTCTAGTTAATTAGCCGAGTTGGTTTTACATTACACATGCTCATCGCGATAATTCTGCTGAAAAGGCGTCATTGAATTAAATCATGGTTACTTAATTCTCAATCATAGCTATGACGTTGATTCACATTTATGCAAAACTCCTCCTAACAGGCGTAATTTTTAGCATTTCAAAGATGCTGTCTGACAGTGACAAATTATGATTAACTCTCCCCTGTTCTCAAATGAAAAGCTGTTAATTACTGTTATGTGCTTTTAAACTGAAAATACCAGCTCCTTAGTCCTAGACAGATCCTAGGTGGAACAGCTAGTTGACACCTCCACTGAGAGAACCATCAGTGTAACAAACAAGTTTTCCTCTCTTTGAACTTCTCAGCAGAAGAAAGGTGTTGCTGTCTTCACTTCAAAGGCTCTTGCAATTATCTCCCAACTTGCTGTGGAGCTGAGATGGATGCAGAGTCGGGCTGGCCTTTCCCACCTAGTTGTGTCCTGTCCTGAGGCACTGCCATGCAGAGCCCAACCTTCTTCCAATGTCGGCAGGGTCAGACCCTTATATTTGTTTTTTCAATCAGTGAAATTCAGCTTCACTGGAGTGGCTCCTGATTAACAGCAGTCACCATTGCCAGACTGGGAAGAAACTGGAGAGAAATACAGATCAAGCTGGCAGCCCAAATATTCTTGAGAGCCTTGGTAGGGAATAACTCTGTCCCATTTTGTTAAAATTAAAGTGATGGTGATGGGAGTGCTCAGCTTTTCTCAAGGTTTTAAATATGTTTATTGGGAACAATACATAAAAATTGCAGAAGTGCAGGAATTTAGTTGAGGGCAGTGATCTGTAATACGTGATGGCTCTTTTGGTCTCTCAACTTCCACATTTGAAGCAAGAAAAACTCTTCAGGGCAATTCTTCCTAGTGTCCTTTTTCTCTAGTTTGTTATTTCTTTCTTTTATATATATATATATATATATATAAAAAACTAAAATAATGAATTATCATTGTTAATATAAGAACAAGTACTGTGTATTCTGTCATGAATCTAGCAACAGGCATTTAGTTCTCAGAAAATGTAGTAGCCACTCAACCAGCAGTCCAAAAAGGGCAATTTCAAAGGAGTTTTATAACCCAGCTATAATCATAGAAGTGCTGGAGTAGGAAGGGGCTTCCATTTGGTCACCCATCCTCCTTCACACCACACACAGATCACTCACTCTAGCGATGCCTCACAGGACAGGGTCTACTCCAGCAGTGTCACCAGTGAAAGGGCCATAAACCAGCCTTGGCAGCCTGTTCTATTGTGTAACTGGTCCTGATTTTTTCCTGATATTTATCATAGTTCTTTCTCCTGCAGTTCACATCCAGTAATACTTTTTTCCTGCCCCTGTTTACTAATGACAATGTTTTGGTCCTTTTACTCCCTGGGACAACTGAACTTACTAAAACTCCTCAGTAGGAAATTTTGTCTCTTTTGGTGTCTAGGATGGAACAGAACGAAGTATTTAGATATGTATCTGAATCTCTTGAATATGCAAATGCAGTTTGAAATATCTGTCCTTAAAATCCTGCTGGCTGCTTTTCAGGGCAGATCATAAATGCTGTAAGAACTACTACCTGCATCAGTCTCAGAGCTTAAACATAAATCCCTCTTCTTTCCAACCACATCCTGAATGATTTTAATTGCTCCTCGCCTTTGCCTAATGATGCCCCAGGTAACTTCCCTGTTACCTGATGCTAAAACAGCAATACAGTAGTCTCCCTACTGTACCCTACTATTTCCTAATTCCATTTTTGATCACTTGTGTGAAGACAGAAAAAAGAAAGACATAGCTGGGAAAAAACCTCTGGATCCTTAGATAGTCACTTAGGATTTGTGTTCAGATTTTCGTGGGAAGCTTCATCAGTTGACCTCCTTTGTTGCTTCTCAGATGCCTGTCTTTTGTAGCATGAAAATGGCAACCTTCAATTTACAAACTCTTTGTCAAAACTGCTGTCTGTGTTGGGGTTTTTTTGATGGTCTCCCAAGAAGAATACTTTTCCAGAATACAGAAGAGTTGTTATATCCTTATTGTGTTGACTATGGTAGATGATATTTTGGCTCTTAGACTTTATCAAGTTTTAAGGTGAGATGGGATCAGTTTGATCATCTCATCTGAGTGTGTAAAATCTGTCCCTCAGGCCAAACAAACCCACTAGTAAACACAATTAGTGTATTCTCTAATACACTTCCAAAAAGTCATGAAAAAGCCAAACAGATGAGTCTGGGAAGTGTTGACTGATAAGTTATCAAAGTGACAGGTTAACCACTGATTAATGCAGTTCATACTTGCAGTAGAGTCTCATTTTCTTTAGTTTTCTCCCTGGGAATGTTACATGGAAATATGAAATGTCTTGCATGAGTGAAATTTGGGACTCTGGTTCGTGATCTTTGGCAATTAGTATTGTAGTGATTAAAAAAAAAAAAAAGTGCTTCTTTCCACTGTCTGCACCACTCATTAGTTGAAAGACATGTTGTACAGGGAGCAAAAATAGTTTATCTTTATTGTAATAATTTAATATAAATAGCAATGTTACAACACACATAGCTGAGATCATGAACATCTCCCTTTGCTTGGGCTGGACTGGGGGTAACAAGATCAGATTGTTTCTGAGGAGGAGCGAAGTAACCTAAACAGACAAGACAAACTAGAATGGAGTGTCAAAATGACTTGCCTGATGTGACACCGCAGGGACTGCACTGTTTGGTTTTATTCTGGGGAGCAGGGAGAAGGAAAACAAAACTGTTTTTTACAGAGCATGGCGTGCATAGGTGTTTCACACAGGCAGTAAAAACCACAATTTATTCCTCCTTATATATTAATCTAAAGCAGAATTTCTAACACTGTTTTCTTTAATTTTATGACTTGAGAAGATTTTCAATCTATGGGTTTTGCTTTAAAAATGAGACAGGGTTTTTCTTTTTCAGAGTGGCAAAACAATTTTAGGAAAAAACGAAAAGCTTTTTTGTAGTTGAAACGCTGATGTTCCAATCTTTATCATTTGACCTCTGCATCAAGAGAAAATGTGACAAAATTTGAAGCAACCACCACTTTATGTACAAAAATTATGTACGAAAAGAAATTCAAGAGAAAACGAGCCCTTAAGTTCTAGCTTAAATAAGATATCCTACATTTGAGTTTCAGTAACTATGTATGAGATAACTAGGATCCTCTCTATGAAATATTTTGGTACTTTTTGATAAAGAAGAGGAAACTATAAGCAGGCTGAATCATCATCAAACTTTAGAGATTTAAAAAAAAAAAAATCCCATTTGTTCAAACAGTGGCTTGAGCTACTTCTGTGACTGCCTGCAGCCCAAGCAAGGCACTCGCTTTAAGAGTCACCATTCCCCTCTGCTTGGAGGAGGCTCCCTGACCAGGGATCACAAGTTTTTTCAGCAGAAGGCGAAACTCAAGACTGGTGCCCCGGGGACGGGCCAGGGCCTCCGGCCTTCCCTCACCCTCATGGCGTCTGCCCCCACCAGGGCCCAGCCCGGGAAGAGAAGGCTGGAGAAGGCTCCTGGAGCCGATCTGCTGTTTCTTTCTTGCCAAGTAAACGGCAGAGACCACACAGCCCGAGCAGGAGTTCAGCCTGGCGCTGCGGGGAGAGGCTCTCCCTCGGGCGGAGGCCCCGTGGCCCTCGATCCGCTGAGGGCCACCACAGGTGCGGGCCGGGGCCGGCTGCTGGGCGGGCGCCTCGAAACGCCTGTGGCTGAAAAGGCTGAAAAACGGGGGACGCCTTCCCCCGCCAAGCTGGGCGAGGGGCTGCCCGAGCCCTCCG